AAGATCATCAAGTCCAACCATTAACCTGTCACTCCACTGTAACCCTAAACCATATCATTTAGCGCCTGATCCAGGTGCTTCTTAAACACCTCCAGGGATGGTTACTCCAGCACCTCCCTGGGCAATATTCCAGCGCCTGAACACCTTAACAGGGAAAAATTGTTTTCTGGTATCTGATCTGGATCTCCTCTGTCTCAGTTTGAAGCCATTTCCTCCAGTCCTGTCTCTGCAGCCATGGCAGAAGAGACTATCCTCCACCTCTCTACAACCCCTGTCAGGGAGTTGTGGACACTCACACCTGTCCCTGAGCTGTGGCAGTTTGAGGGATGCGAGGGATGAGCTCAGGTGGCACATCCTGGGGCTCAGCAAATAACAGTGTTGTTTCTCCTGAGCAGATGATAATCAACAGAAAAAGGAGTATTTTTGTTTCGAGGCAGCAGCTGTACTGGGAAGTGAACAGCAGATGTGCCCTTTCAGGCCATGTATTTCCTTACAAAAATCAGGATGGCAGGGAGGAGGGCGAGTCACTCCCACTCAGATACTTGAAATTTAATACACAGAAGATGTTCAGATTAGTAAAATTTGGATTTTTCAAAGCTAAAGAGCCAAAAAGTTGGTGTTCATCCATTTTTACATAACTGCATTATATCTGAGTAGGTTTGAATGACAACCACTCAGAAAAATTAAATACTTAATACGTGAAAATATGCTTAAAACACCCTGGCTGATTTTGAAACACTTTAATGGATTTATGGTGGGGTTTTATACAGTTTTCTAGGGTTTTGTCTTGGTGTTGTTCCACAATTGATTCTTAATAGTTCAGGTTATCCCCTGGCAGAATATATTCTTTTGTTGCAGCTGTTGCTCTTACCTTTCACTGGGTTAGATAACACTTTCAGGCAAATAGGTACTTTCTTGACTTTCATACACCAATAATCTTTGTGTCTATGTGTATAGTTTTGCCAGGGTGTAAAACATTAAAATCCAGTATCATAGAAGGGTTTAACTTGGGAACATCAAGGTTATAATGCTGTAAAATTAGGCCCTGAGTGATTATTTTAGGTTTCAGAGATAGGATGTGGGTTTGTGATATAAAAATAAACTCTTGGTTTTATTTACAGCTTTTATGCATAACTGTTAACATTTATTTCCTTGCCTGGTAGTTATGGACACTTGACCTGAACTTCAAATTGCTACCTTGGGAAAGTATTAAATATTTACTCCTAATGTCCTTCCTTGGAAACAAAGAGAGTTGATTCTTATTGACTCTCTGAAAATACATTTGAATGGTAGTACAGTAAATTCAGGAAACGGTGTTTCATTGAGGAGTGGATGGGAAGCGAAGGTGTCACAAGCCAGGGCTTGTATAGATCACTTTCATTTTGCAGCAAAGCTGAAATATGAAGCTGGTTTGCAGGACGACAGGTCTTTTGCTGTGGGTCTGTACTCCTGTATGCCAACCACTTGCGCAGCCTTGAGCTGTTTTCCAGCTTACTGGGAGCCCAGTGACGTCTGTAATCGGATTCCCTGCCCTAGCCCTGCTGTTGTGACACGCCTGTCACCCAGCTGAGGGCTGTGTTTCAGACTAGCCTCCAAAATGACATTTGTAGGGATAAGCCTTCAACTATGGCCGTAAGAGGATTTTTGAATGTTGAAAAGCTTTCTTGAGCAACAATTGGATTTTTGCAGGATGAGTCGTTTGAGAGCGGAGAGGCACAGACTATCTCCATGAGGTGCTGTGAAACACTCTTTGCTTCTGGACAGTCTGGAGTGGTCTTGGAAGCTAGAACACTGGAGTGATTCGAAGCTTCTGGTTTAAACAAAGGTTGGGCAGTGCACCAGGTGGTCATCACCCTTCCCTAGCCCCAAGGGCAAGAGCAGAACAGCGTCTGTGTGCTGCCACCAGCAAGCTCTGCTCTGGTTGCAACCCAGTGGGTGTTGAGAGGTGGAGGCTCATGTTATACCAGACCTTGGCCATGGGGTTTGGGGCCCCCTCTAGTCTGGAGCCTGAAGGTGTTCGGTCCATGAGTCCTAGTAGTTGGGCAAAGCCTGGTGGCACCAGACTGAATCACCCTCACTTGTAGCTTACTGATTGTGACCACCTTCACCCAACCCAGAAAGGGGACATAGACTTGACATCTCTAAGTAGACATTGTGATACCCTGCAGTGACAGCAATATAGGTGAGGCCTCTGAGGCAGAACACACATAGCCTTATTTAGGCTGTTTTGTACAATTATTCCATGACGTTCTGTTTTAGTGAGTTAGTAATTTCTGTTGTCTCCACCACCACCCTGAGAAATTTGGATGCTTAGAGGAAAGTGTTGTAGCCTTTTCCTTGATTTTTTTTTTTTTTTTTTTTTTTACTGTAGTGTTTTGAACAGGTCCTTAGGAAATGTTTTGGTTGGTTGTTACTCTGTAGGGAGATGGATGTTGCTGTCTCCTTATGAAGGAAAACAAAAATGTCAGAAATGTCTGAGTACTATTTAGACATTTCCTTTTTGAGGTTTTTTTTTTTTTGCATTCCTAAGGGAACTGGATTATAGTAACTTTGATTCAGAAGTGTAGGAGTTGCTTTTTGGCACCAGTGCTTTATAACCCTAGGAAGAAGACCGTGACTCCCTCAATTCAACCTCAGAAAAGGTTAGCCAGAGAGAGGCAACACAAGGAATTAAAACAGAATAGGACTTTTTCGTTTCAAGGACTTCTTAAGAAGCCTGCTGGGGAGATTTAGGAGGCCCACTTGGTGAAAGGAGGGAACTCAGTCACTGTGAAGCCTTCTAGAAATTTAGATCTTTTGGACCTTAATAGTTTCCCTAGATGCAGCGTTGATGTTTTTAGCAGAGATGGTCTCCTTATAGAGAATTTGTCCTTCTTAACCTTCAGAAAACACTTGGTACCAAGACTTCTTTGTAGACTCTTGTTTGCAGCAGTGTTGGGATGTGAATGTCTTTTAGCATACTTTCCACATAGCTTTTGTGATTTAAATCCAGGTAATACAAAAACCAGACTGTCAGAGCTGACTCTGTAGCAGTTGAAATTTATAAGGATTAACATGGGGCCTGGAACTGAATTGTGTTCTTGAGTTGGCAGTGGAAACAGAAAAGGAAAAAACCTGAAGATACAAGTCTGTGTGGACCACAGAACCTTCAGCAGAGTCTTCAGCCATTTGGGTTGTAACACTGACCTGTATTTAAAAAGCAGTAAACACCAAGCAATGACAGCAAAAAAGCCAGAACACTCTCTCCTCCCACTGCCCCTCCAGATCCCACTTCCCACAACAAACCAAACCAAACCAACCCGTGGCCATAAAAGTCTTTGTGGTCAATGAAGTTTCTACTGAGTACTGAGAAAGTCAGCTTGGTGTTAGCTCTGGTGTTGGGAGCTGGTCTGAACCAGGACCTTACAGTGGGCTCAGGAGACATTCTATGAATTTCCTTCCTAAATGCAGAAACTCAAAGCTGTGAGAACATCAGCCACTACAAACAAATAAAGTGGGCAGGAGCAATGTAGTCATCTTGTAATGTTTTCCTAAATTCTCTGGGGTTGACACTCATGTTTATGTCTCTCCCACTCCCTGTTTAGTTTTTCCTCCTCGGTGTGTCTGTTCTTACAGAATTTTCCATCATGTTTGAATGCCATTCTGAGTTTGGGCATCTCTGTACATACTTTAACTAGGTGCTACTTTTCTGCTAGCCAGAAACGTACTAGTATGCGTGCCTCAGGCTTAAGTTCTTGGTTTATTTGTGCAGTTAATATGATAAAATAATGTGTCTAAAAGTTCTGAGCTTGTGTTTAAATACTGAAGTATAATTAATTTAATGGAACGACTTAGAGAGTACCTGCTTGGAATTCGAAGGGACTAGAAGATGGGATGGGTAAAACTTGAACCGCTGCTGGTACTTCTAGAAAGTTGACAAGTGTTTTGCTTGAGGCAGGGCCAGGGTGAAACAGCTTATGCAGTGCATTTTCCATGAATTACTGCTTTGCTGGGAGACAGATGGTCTTTTCAAATGGAAATGGCTAGTATTCCAGCAGTGTCCTATTGCATTCTCTCTTGGAAGATTTCACCTATACTCCCTTTATGTGAGGAAATAAGCTGCCTGTATAAAGGTTATAAAACCTGACTGGGAATCTGTTTCTAAAGCAAACTTCTGTGGTTGTGATCAAGATTGCAGTGTTCATGTGTTGTGCTTTCTGACATCTCTGCCTCATGAAAAAGTGAATTACAAATTGTCTTCCCTTTTGTAGCCAAATGGTGAGTCGCTCCTACCTCCTCCAGTGCTACCCTGTACTACTCTGTGCCAAACTAAGGCAGATGATAACAGGAATAACAAAACTAGTCAACTAAGCCCTAGTATTTCGAAGAACTCTCAGGAACTGCTTTTATCTTAACAAGAATTAATGAAACTGCTTTTGTGAAAACCGAAGAAAGAATATTGGTTGTTATAGGCTAAAACCTGAAGGAGCCACTGAAAAATGTCAGGGCTGCTAGTTTGGCTGTCCTAAATATTTGGAGAAGAAAAGATAAACTATAAATTATTTCCTTGACAAATGTGTCGGGTAAATATGCTATTTAAAGTAGTAATTTGGAATGTGCTATTCAATGTTGTTCAGCAAGATTATAGAAGAAGATTAGCCTTGTTAATTAGTGATTTTGGCTTCCAAAAGTTTTCATTAAGAAGGAGGAGGTGCTAGGCTGTGCTTTTCTCAGTGACATAGTAACTAGGCAAATTAGTAGATTTCTATATTCTTTTCTTATGACTAACTTTCCCAGGAAGACTAAAATCTTTTTTATTTTAAGGGAAAATAGCTAAAAATACATGCATGCAATTACTTAATATGACTAATTGTTGTTTTTCCCCCATTTACCTTGCAGCAACGTGCCTAGTCTAAAACGTACTTCTTTATTAAAGAGTAATAGTTAGAAATAAGAATACTTCATGCAGCTTTTTCCTGTGACTGATTGTTTTTTCTTTCCTCTTATTTTGCAGCAACGCACCTCTTGCTTTTTCCTCCAAAGTATGTTATATTAAGTTTCGTGAAGCATCGAGTGTTGGTGTGGCCCAGCATCTAACTAACACGGTTTTTATTGACAGAGCTTTGATAGTTGTGCCCTGTGCAGAAGGTTGGTATTTCAGATATTCCTCTGTCATGTTGGTCCTTGTCATGTCTGTTAATTGTTTTAAGCTTTCCATGTAAGGAGGTGGTGCTCTGTTGTTATTTTGTTTTATTTTACTGCTTTATGAATGGAAAAAATAGTTGAAACAAAATTGAAAGTTGAATGAGGAAACCCAGTGATAAAGGCTAAACTGAAATTCAGCATTAGCAAAAAAGTAGTTGGTTTAAATAATGATAATTCAATTTGCCATAGTTACTACATATTTGGGGGGAAAGAAAGTAGAGTAAGTCCCTTCAGTATGGTTGGTGTTGGCAAACTTATTCCTACACAGAGTTCTCACTGAAGTCAATGGAGCTCTGGAAAGGTCAGGCAGTTCCTGGCACCAGTAGCATTGCAGTTTGGATCTTAGTGGATTTTTGTGGATTTGTGATTTTTTTAAGATACTGAGTATTTTGCATTCTTTTGGAGTGAATCCCAATTTTGTATTGTAGACATGTGATATATGCATTTGGCCATTTTTAGATCTAAAATACTTAGCATTCATGGTGATAATTACTGTTTGGATATAAATGTTTACCTACTAGTTCAGTTTAAAAAAAAATCCAATTTTTCTTTCTTGTTATTGTTGAAACTATGACTTCATGTGTCATGGAAAGATTTTCCTATGTGTACTGGTACTCCTTTTTGGGTTTAATTACCTCCTTAAAGATGCAGTGATCTGCACATAATTCTTCTGTCATCAAATGTTCTTAAAGCAATGAAATAAAATGATTGATGAATGCTAAATTTACAGATGCTCCTTGATCTGGTTTTGAGGTCAAACTTCAACAGATGAGTCGAATACAAGACAGTCTGTATTGTTAGCAGAGCATCCTAGATTAGAACACAATGTGGGAGGCACATCAATGGAGTTAGGCAGAGCCCCATTGACTTCATTGGGATCATTGTGGAACTGAGCATCTGAGTCCCGGGCTCTGGACCTTTTGCCCCTGTGGAGTGGAGTCATTCCAGCTGATGGAGTGAACCTGACTTCACTTTCAACATCGTGTAGCTGTTTTGCCATGAACAACAATGTGTAGAGTGATTGAACCATAAACTTCAGAAGTACCTCTGATTATCATAACTTCTCTAACTTCAAGGGTCAGATTTTGCTTCCAAAAAAAAGTACTGTTGATTTCTCGGGGTTTATTAATAATGGTCCGAGAGTACCATTTTTTGGCATGTTTGCCGTGTCATGGATAGTGTGAGATTAGAACTGCTGTGATAATCATTTGGGAAGTTCTTAGCAAACTGACAAGTCTCCAAATTTCCACAAACCTTATAAGTACTTTCACTAAAGGCTGTATTGACCTGCCTGTTCTTGTAGCCTGCTTAGTAGAGGCACATGGCACATATATTTGTCTTTGTAAAGCCTAGATTTTAGTTGCTTTTTGTGCCTTGTTTTGGGGACTTTTTGTTTACATTTTTTGAACTGTTCTTAAACCACAAAATCGGGTATTGCTGTGTCCACTTGAAACTGTGTAGAGGCTAAAGGGACCTGAGTCCTCCGTGAGAAAAATTGCCCCTAAATAAATTGACTAGAGATTATTCAGGATCTTAGTTTTACATTTCGTCAAAAAGATCTTAACATTGGCTCAGTACTGTCAGAGAGGGAAGATTGCTGCCTGAGGAGTGAATGACACTTCCCAGGGTTTTCCTTGTGATAAGGCACTGCCTGACATGATAAGGCAATGGGCAGGTAAAGCCATGTTTGCCTGTGTCTCTTGATGGTAGACAATGAGTGGAAGGAGAATAAAATCAGAGCTCTGCCAAATCTCGCTCCAGTTCTGTTTGTAGCTGATTTATTAGGTATTACTGAGGAAACAAACATACTGCAAAAAAACTCTCACTGTTCAAAATCCTTCAGGACTCCACAGAAATGTTTGCATACTTAGGAGAACAAGTGGCTGGGTTTTCAGGTCACTTTTTTTAATGTCAGAATGCTGTTTCCATGTAAGTCTTATCAGGATCATTTATAAAAAGATGTGGATTTATACCGATGAATTTATGGTGTGGAATAACTATTACTTTGGAGACTATGGTCAAGGGTTTTGATTCAGTTATGTACCACATGGTGCACTGTTAATGGAGTCAGAGGAGTGGCTCATGGGCTTTAAAAGCAGTGATGGCTTTATTGTACCAGGAGGTAAAATATCATGGGCCAACAGTGCTGTTAATCAAACATTTCTTGCACCAAGTTGAACATAGAGGAGGTAAAATGGAACTCTGAAAACCTGGTTTTAAAAACAATAAAATCTGAAATTTGGAGTGTGTTTAAACAGTGGTAAGTCAAGGGAGTATGAGGAGAATGAAATCAAGGTTAATGATGTGACATTTAATGAGCAGTTTAACAAAAATATAAATGAAGTAACAGTATTGAGGTGTCAAAAATATGACTTTTTATGTATGTGTATTAGTAGGTTTCTCTTTAAATATACTTTGAAAATGCAAAGGTTGAAAGGTAAACAAAGATGCCACCCTAATCATTTCTAAATTTTATGTCCACATTATCTGGTAGATGGATTTTGACTATTAATTTGGTTTTGTATGTTTTCTCTGTGTGATATGTAACAGTATTGAGGTGTCAAAAATATGACTTTTTATGTATGTGTATTAGTAGGTTTCTCTTTAAATATACTTTGAAAATGCAAAGGTTGAAAGGTAAACAAAGATGCCACCCTAATCATTTCTAAATTTTATGTCCACATTATCTGGTAGATGGATTTTGACTATTAATTTGGTTTTGTATGTTTTCTCTGTGTGATATTTGTGCAGTGCATTTTTTCCTTTGTTTCTTTTATTTTAATTTTATTTTGTCCCTTTATTTTTGTTTTTGTTCTTGTTTTTTTTCTTGTTTTATTTTTCTTCT